TTCAATATCCTGTTTTTCTGTAATAGTTGCGCTCCTACGATTTTCATTATGAACAGTTTCCATAGTTTCCGTTACTCGTTTAAGGTAGTTGTCGTGGTACAATATTGTCAAAAATTTTTAGATTATACGCACCGTAAAAGTATACGAGCTTGTAGCTAAGTGATTCATAATTTTTTCGCAAGACTGTACCCTGGAGACGTTACCTTTACGTAATACTTTCAAATATTTTCATAAGTTTTAATTATTTTTTTTTAAACTCAGCAAAAATACATTAAAAGACTGTTAGTTTTTTGAAAGCTTCTGACAGTTGGTTTTTTTTTTATAACCAAGAAACTGGTACAGAACTACAGAAAGCGTATACAATCCATGTTAATTATTTAATGTTTAATTGAATTTATCTCGGGTTATAGACGGTCAATCAACTTCAAATTTTAAGGATAATTGTATTGGCATGTCCTTAATAAGTATACAAAAATTTAAAATTTTCTGATGGTATGCTTACAGCACGACAACTACCTTAAGTGGTGCATTTTTGTATATAGTTTCGTTTCGACCCTTACATGAAAAACAATACCGTACCGTAACAGAAAGGAGATAAAATTAAAAATAGGTACTTTATTTTACTCATCTAAATAAACTGCTTAATTACTCATCTAAATAAATTGCTTAATTAATTTTTAAAATTGATATTTATGCAAGCCAACCGAGCACTGTTTATTAAAAAAATTTTAGACATTTTTATTAAACTTGAAGGAATTGTTTGGGTTGAATGTAAATTAAGTAGTTTTTGTCTTTAGCCATAAATTTAAAGTATAATATTTATTATAAAAAATCGCAAACGTCAATATTATATTTTCTTATTACAAACTAAATAATATTGTACCATTGATTTTTTTATTATAAAATACTTAAAGTAAATCATGTAGTCTTTCACTTAAGTCATAAACTAAAAATTTTGACATTCAAATTCCAAAGAATGCAGTTAAATAATTGAGGTGAAGTATATGTCAGTTAAACGCTAATTCTGTCTTGTTTTCTAAAAATAATACAATATATGTAAACTATTCAAAAGTTAATAAGGAATTTTTAATAAACCATTTATAATTAGAAATTAAATATAAAATGGTTTTTATACGGTTTTATGAACTCATCAAAAAAATTGAAAGACTTTGTAAACATATTTCTTATTAAAGTATAATAAAAAATTCTATATCAACTTTTGAGCAGTTTATATTTTGTATTCTAAATTAAGACCTTTATACTGAGAGCCTTTATACATAAAAAATAAATACATTGTATTATATTTAGAAAATAAGACGAAATAATAAACTGACAGATAGATAACCTCAATTATTTGTTTTCAAATGTTAAAGTGAGACTTTTTAATGTGGAGCATGCTGTACATATTACAAAAAGGCGCAAACCTCAAAATTATATTTTCTTTTCTTACAATACAATTTACTTTTAGCTATTTAAATTGCAGACATAAATATACTATATAAAAGGTTTTGTGCATAAAGCCAAGGGGGTCTTAAAATTTGCAAAATTTAATAAAATGTTGGTCACTGATTTTTAATCCAAATTATTTCTTGAAGTTCTTTTAGTTTAAGATTTGTTTAAAATAAGAAATGTATTTTTTGAATAATTAATTAATATAAAGGTAAAATATTTATAACCAAAGTTTTAATCTGAAGTAAAAAAGTATATATTTATTTTTTTAAATTTTAATTTTGTAAAAGTTTTCATGGAAAGTATGAATTTTGTAAGGAAGTATGCCTCTTAGTAAATTTTGTAGTGTAGAGTAAGATTTTATTGGGCAGAAAAATAACATGAAATTGTTATGCACAGATGTATATTAAATTGACAAACTAAATAATTATCATGTTTTTATCATGTTTGTAATAAATTATGATATATACTTACACAACTACACATTTTCAATAATCTGTTTGAGTGATTATTCATTTTAATCAATATTTTTTTCTTTTCTTCATTATAAAATTCCTTACAGCAGCAATTAGTTTGGTCAGTTGTCTATTATAAAGTATGGATCCAATGTTTTGTTTTTCCTGTTTTTAATAAATTATTTTTGATATTTTCACCTAAAATTAAATACAAATTATAAAGTGATAAAGTGAGTGGTATCAAATTAACCAATTTACGTTACGAGCCGTTACGATATTTGCCCTGCTTAAAGGTTGCGTGGGCGTGAGTTAAAAAAAATTACACAACCTGATTTAAAAACATTCAAATAGAGCGATTTTAACCAAATGTCAATAAAAATACAAAAAACAATTAGCACTTGTTTATTCTTTAAAAAATGTTTTAACAAATCTGCCGTGCTTAATGAAAACGCCGTAACCAACAATTTTGCGATTTTTGGTTTAAGGCATTTTCTACTAGAACAATTCATCTTGCGTCTATCCCCGGTACTCAAAAAACCGTATATATATAGATAAGGTTTTTTGATTACCGGGGATAGACGCAGGATGAATTTTTCTAGTAGAAAATGCCGTAAACCAAAAATTGCAAAATTGTTGGTTACGGCGTTTTCATTAAGCACGGCAGAAATGGTAAATGATTTATAATCAAAGTTAATTTAAAATAAGATATAGTGTTGTGTGCGGTGACTTTGAAGAAACTTTGGGATAAAATTAGAAAATACCAATACAAGAAAAACGTATGTATGATCAGTGTTTCCAATAGCTGGCCATACACAGACGTTATTGCGCGCGGTTTATCGTGTTATCTGCAAAAACATATGGAAAATCATGTACGTGAGTGAGTATCGCCGCGCGAAATGATAGAACGGGAAGGGATTTCAGACGTGCTTTTCTCTGGAGTGTGGCGTGTCCACACGCCACATTCCGCGTCACGGTTTACCTTTGCTTGGCAAAATTTCACGTTGAAAATTTGTACATGATCACATGCAGTTTCAAACGACTCGATAAATGACACTTTTTGCCCACTCACATACGATTTTCCCTTTGAAACTGATATACCACGGGCAATCACTTGCTAAATCATTTGAATACTTTATCAAGTGTATGGAACATGACGCTTTTTTTGCCATGCCGTTCTTTCGTGCATACTAACCGCTACATTCCAACACGCCACGATAAACCGCGCGAAATAACGTCTGTGTATGGCCAGCTAATAGCTGGCCATACACAGGCGTTATTTCGCGCGGTTTATCGTGGCGTGTTGGGATGTAGCGGTTAGTATGCACGAAAGAACGGCATGCCAAAAAAAGCGTCATGTTCCATACACTTGATAAAGTATTCAAATGATTTAGCAAGTGATTGCCCGTGGTATATCAGTTTCAAAGGAAAAATCGTATGTGAGTGGGCAAAGTGTCATTTATCGAGTTGTTTGAAACTGCATGTGATCATGTACAAATTTTCAACGTGAAATTTTGCCAAGCAAAGGCAAACCGTGACGCGGAATGTGGCGTGTGGACACGCCACACTCCAGAGAAAAGCACGTCTGAAATCCCTTCCCGTTCTATCATTTCGCGCGGCGATACTCACTCACGTACATGATTTTCCATATGTTTTTGCAGATAACACGATAAACCGCGCAAAATAACGTCTGTGTATGGCCAACTAATGGTGTTGACATAATTTACACACAGATTCTGTCAAAACTCCACAATTTTGCCAACTATTCCACACATTAGGGATTTTGGTTTTGTTAGGTTTCTTTGGTGATAACCACAGAGACAGTTTCTGTGGTGATTACTTAAAGGCGTTTTCAAAAACTTACTAGATTACTTACTTTGTCAAACAGTCTATTGTTATATCCGGTTTTAAGTTACTCGATCACTTACCCTTCCAAAAACACCTTTAGATTTTTAAATTAATTAAAAATAGATGTTCTACATTCGATTTATTTAAATAATTTCAGAGAAAACAAATGATAAGAAAGTAAACAATTATTCAAAACAAATACCATGCGTCGTGCTACGTCATTTTCCATACCATGATAACTGGGTTGCCTACATTTAACTATTAAAATAAATAAATTTTCTGAACAATTGTCGCCTTACTTCCGTACTGTCCCAAGTTACCCGTTACAATACATAGAAATTTGCACAGAAATTCGTCCATTTAGAAATCGGTACAAAAATTCGTCTCGACAAATCTTTAACACGAAAATAACTAAAATGCGCATTTGAAAATATATACTCTCTAAAAATGAATTAGTCAAAAATGACTAATTTAATAGTTGGTGGCTGCTTTTTCACTTGTACCATGGTTAACCATGAAATGCCATGGTATCACACAATTTAACAGCCAATTCTTATGTAAAATTGTCCCCTGAATCCGAAAATACCGTCAAAAATTATGAAAGTGGAGCAGTTTTTGAGATATAGTCAATTCCATATTAACTGAAAAATTTACTATATCTCAAGAACTGTTCTACTTTTTTAACTTTTGACGATATTTTCGGATTCAGGGTAAAATTTTACATAAGAATTGTCTGTTCAATTTTGGGATACCATGGTATCCCATGGTTAACCATGGTACAATTGAAAAAGCAGTCACTAATACTATAAAATTAGTCATTTTTGTCTAATTTATTTTTAGAGAGTATGTTTAAATACATGATATAAGCATTGTTAATTTAAAAATACAGTTTACACGCAAAACTCCACACATTTATTTATTTTTAAAGCGCGACTAATGCACTGTGCGCATGCCCGCGCCATTAAAATTCAAATTAACTCGCGAAATCATTTCTTTCTCACGTCATGAGATCAGGTGATACACGAATGAGAAAAATGCATGAGAAATCACAGATTGAGGAAAAATCAGGGTTGCTGTGTGAGATTATTTTAAATGGCAAAGTAAATAATTATCATTACATACAAATTTATAATAAATTATCAAAAATACTTACACAACTACACATTTTCAATAATCGGTTTTTGTATTCCTTTATTTTGATCGATTCAATATATTTTTCTTTGCATTATTTTCATAGTACAATTCCTGTGGTGTGCCACAGCATTTAGTTTGGTCAACTGTTCACTATAAAAAAGTATGGATCTCCTTTTATTGGTCATATTTTCTGTTTCTTCTGTTTTTTAATTTCCACTTTCATTTAATTAAATATTGCCTCATAGATATTCCTAAAATTTGAACATATAAGTGCCTTTTAAAAGACTTGTGCTAGGGATAGCAGCTTAATAAACCCAAAATGGATAGGTCCAAAAAGGGCATGACCTTAAATGCTCTCTACATCTAAATTGCGTGGCAACAACGCACTTTTAAAGTTAAAGCAAAATTGGCAAGGCTGGTTTAACATGTTTTAAGAAATTTGGCATGGCCATGGCCTCGCTAAATCCAAGGGTGCAGAATGCTCAAGCCGGCCTGAAGTACTTAAAAAACCTGAATAATTAGTTTTGTTCAATATAAGAACGCTCTGTCAAGTAAAATGAAATGTAAAACCAGCCTTCCAATTTCGCTTTGCCATACAATTTAGATACGGCGACCTTTCAAGGTCTTTCACTTTATGGGCCTATTAAAGCGTATACCCGTGCTAGGCTCTAAAGGCGTATTCATGCTCGTTTAAAACAAGAAGTAAGAATAAGAAATAAGAAACAAAGTTGAAACTGTGTAAAGTAAAGGTTGCGTTCATGTTCATAAATATAATAAAAATATAAGCAATAAGACCTGTTTATGCTAACTTAAAATAAGAAATAATAAATATGAATAAGAAATAAGATACAAAGTTAAAACTGTGTAAAGTAATGGTTGCGTTAATGTTCATGATGTAAGATTAATTAAAACTAAAACCTTTTAAACCACAACTGCGCAGAAGGACAAAATAGGTCTGTGAATTGATTTTATGGGTGTATTTTGTGTTACTGACAAATTGATGTAAGATGACATATCGACATATTATACACAGTGTCTACGTGCACGAGTGTTTGTAATTTAGTTTTTACGGGCACGCTAGTGACGTAATGGATGAAATTCGTCATACACTGCCATGCCACTTAATTTAAAATTGACGGCAGAATTCCATAGCAGGTATAATAGTAAAAATATTTAAATAGATACAATACAGAAGTATAAAAAAGAACACTAATAAGTATATAATAAATCATTGGCGTACCTTTTTTTCCCTAAGAGAAAGTAGTATGAAAACAAATGTACGTAATAAATAAACAAAACTTACCAAATTTTATTAAAGTAGGTTCTTTAGTTTAGTAGAAATCAAAAATATATGCAACTTCAACACTGTTGGGATACGAAGAACTAACACTATGACTCGTAAGATCGTTTATTGTTGATTGCAAATAACTTTTACATTTTTATTAAGTGAATAATAAATATTCGAGAAGTTTAATCTTAAGTTAAGTGAGTGAAAAGTAAGTAGTAATTGATCTTTTAATTTCCAAAAATTAGCTTTTATACAGCGCGATAATTTTTATCAATTAATGGAAAAATAGAAGCGGTGTCTTTGAACTTACGAAATATCTAATGATGCGAAATAATTACTTGAACTATTTGAACTTTTAATTAATTTAATTTATGGACTTATTTTTGTCACCCTAAAGATCACGACTAAAAGATTATTTAATATACATTAGAAAAACAAACTGTTACCAAATAAATATACAGGGTGTAACAACACCTTGTTTTTCTGAAACTGTTGAGTTTTCTATATAGGTAAGTTTTTTATTGATTCTTAATTTATTAAAGGTTTCTTTTGGATCACCCTGTATATAAACTTTATATTTTAAAATTTCTAAAAATATCTAAAATTTTAATCGAGAAAATTCATTAGTCAATAAATAGGAAGACAAGTTAATGTGAACTTGTATGTTTTAAAGCTTCGTTTTCGAGATACAGGGTGGAAAAATTATTTTAAAAATATTTATTATTTCACAAATTACAAAAACTAAAATTTAATACAAAATTTCAGGTTTGTAGGGTCAGGCAAAGTGCTTAATTTACTGTATTTAAATTTAATTAAGGATATCCAACTGGATACTTAAAAATAAAAGTTTGGCTACTGATTTTTTACAAGTTTAATCAAAGAACTACTGAGTAAAAGTCAAGGGAGTTAAGCCTCAAAACCATAATTTCGCGGAATTTCTATGATAAAAAAGTAATGTTTTTAGTTGTTACTTTTTTGTTTATATAAAAACAAATAAGTTACTATCAAAAATTCTACTTTTTTGTGATAAAAAATCTCCGCTTGTATTTCTCGCGACTCCCTTGACTTTTATTACGACAATATTATTTTTGGGTCAAGCAATTAAAAATACAACTTCCTTGTCTCCTGCTTTAATCATTAAGAATAAAACAAAATTCGTATATTTGCTCGCCCCTGAGAAAATTAAATATAATATCAAACTTATAATAATAAAGAAAGATATTTTTTTATTAACTTTAATACCCTGTATCTCTAAAACAAAGCTTTAAAGCTTACGAGTTTATATACCTACATTTTTCTTCATATTTTGCAAGTTCGATTACAAAATTTTCCCGAATAAAATCTGAGAGACAGTGCCTTTGAGACACCCTGTAAACATGTATACAGGTACAATTTATTATTATATTATTGATGTGCCGCCAATTTTAAATTAGGCGACACGGAAGTGATGACGTTTTTTATCTATTACGTCAGTAGCTTGCCCGAAAAAAAATAAATTGCAGGCACTCTAACGTGCACCTAGTAACAAATATGCAACATCTTCAATTTTTATCAATAACAACTAAAATACAGCCGTCATTACACCCAAAGAACACTTTGATTACACCTCCCGCAACTAAATGGTGACAACATTTTTTATTTCTTATTTTATGACCATGAACGATCAATCGCGACCTTATTTCTTATTTAGTATTCCTTGTTTCTTATTTCTTATTTTTATTTATTTATTTCTTTAAGTGAGCATGAATCTACTTTATCTAATCTATGGCATGAATACGCCTTAACCTGTGGTCTTATAATTGATAAAGACCACTACAACAATTTTAACATATAAGTAATATAATATATAATGCGCTTAAAATTTAGACTAGAGAATCACATTAAAAAACATTAAAACTAACTTAATTTTACAATTATAAGGAGAGCTTTAGGTATTTGTTTAGACATTTTATGAAATAATCTAGTTTTAAACCCCCATTCGGTCATTGTTTGACAATAAAAAAAATAAAAGGGGCATAGATAATGTTTATAATCCGGCGGGGCTTACCGCAAAATAGGTTTCCCTGGTCTAGAGGGCCTGGACACATTATTAAAAATATTTAAATTTAATAAAAACTGAAAGAATCCTTTGTACCGTATAAAATTATTTCTATTTTATGCATGTGCAGTTGTAACAGTATTTTTTATAACTACTAAATGAGATCTTACCTTTTAGTAGAAGTAAAAGTCATTCTTATTTAAGTTAACATTTGTTGTATACATTCTTGGTTCTTAAAAATAATTATGCAGGACACGACGCAGAACAAACAACAACACACAGTGAAAACAACTTGTTGCAACGCAGTGACACTCCCTTGCACAGAAAACGTCACAAGTTGATTCACAACCAGTGTTGCCAGATGGAATCTTTGCGATTACCAGTAAATAACTATGAAATTACCAGAGATCACCATTTTTTTGGGAAAATGTGTAAGAAAGTCAAACAAAAAGGCAATATTTTAAATCTGTATTAAAATAAAATAGCACATATCAGGGTTCAGACTCCTGGGGTCTAATATCAAACCATTTTTTATTTGGTATATCACGAGCTCGCTCATGAGATTTTCATAAAAATTAAACTAAATAATCAATGTTTAACCTATTAACAATTTTTTAGCACTTTATAAAATTTCGGAAATAAGAAATAACAAAATATGACATTGTTTTACTTGTTTACTTTTTATGTTGTTTTTACTTTTTAATAATACTTTAATTTGTATTAAAGTATTGAATTGTTAATTAAAATACAACGTTTTATTTTTACTACATTGGCACCGCTGAATTTGCTGTCACTGCCTACTGTTATTTATTTATCAACAAAACATTTAAACAAAAATTTGAAACATTCTTGAACAAAAACTCCCCATTACTGTCCTGAAACACATATAGTGTAGGCTGTCTGAAATTTACACTTCTTATTCTTCTTATTAGTCAAAAGGAAAATCCAAGTTTCAACACATTTACCGTATATTCTGCTTATTCCCAGACGTTTGGCATCACTGCTCCCAACGATTGACTAGTTAACTAATGTGTCCAGTGTTGCCGCTAGTATTATTTATAATGCAAACTTTGTTTAAAAATTATGCTGTGCAATTGTGCATAAAAAATATTACATTACATTAAAATATGTACATTATTTCGCACTCCATTGTTTTGCCCCGAAAGTGTTTTGCAATGAATGTGTCTTCAACAGAAAAGAAATTAGACAACGTTGACATCAAGTTTGCGGCCAACCATGATACAACCAAAAGTCAAACACAGGGCCGTCCCTACCTGGGCGACACTCTGCTAGGAGCAGCAAATTTGAGAAGAAATGTACCAAACGTTTTTAAAGAAACATTTTACGATATATGTAGGTTATTTATCTTCGCCAATTTATTGTAATTTTAATAATTATTATTATTATTTACCAATTTTTTTTAATAAAAATGCCCTTTCAATGGTGCCAACAGTGGTAATAATAATATTTTTTATATATTATTAAATACATTTTGTATTTTTTAATGAATTTGTACGTTAAAGAATATTATACAAAGTGGTTTAAAATGGACACCCTGTGAGGGGCGGCAAATTTTATTTCGCACACCGGCGGCAAAACAACTAGAGACGGCCCTTATTTGAACAGTGCGCAAATTCAGGGTTAAGGACCTCAACTTAAGGTCTTCATCGAACCACAACAAAGAAAAAAATGTACCCGAACTTTTTGGGTCAATTACTAAATGCACGGGACCACAGTAGAAATACGAGAACCACAGTATACAACACATAATTATTATACAGGGTGGCTAAAAAAAATATTGAGTGTAACTTTTGAAAAATATTAAAAAATTATTTTAATAAAAGTTGTTTGGTAGTTCATTTAAAATTTTACGGTGATATTGTCAACTTAAAAAAAAAATACGTAGCCCCCACCGGGGCCAACTTTTTTTTTTAATAGTAACCCCCCTTTTTTACAACATAATTTAAAAGAGGCTTTTTTCTGAAGTTGGCAATGTAACCCATTTGAAATGAACTATTAAACAACTTTTATTAAAATTTTCGATATTTCAAAAAATACACTCAATATTCCAAACTTTTGAGCCAAAATATATGTATTATATGCAGTATCATGCATGATTATAAGCATAGGGCTTTTATAGGTGAATTTGGATTTTAAAACGCACTACGTACCTGTAGAATTGTTAATAAGTAATACTTATTAATTACTATATTATTTTGTAATAGAAATTATTCTGGAGTTTACATTCGGTTCGTTATTTGTATTAAGTAGGTACGCATATACTTCTTATCATCGTCGTATTGATAACGTCAACAGTTAAGTTAAAAATAACACTGCCCTTGATTCCTGATTGGTTACTGCGTAACTAGGCTGTAAAAAGCTGCCAGCAAGTTGCTGATAATAGGTACAGTTTTATAAAGAATTTCAGTTCAACTGAAAAATGTTATTATAGAAAGAAAACCAACATATTTTTTTATTTTGGTAATAAAAGTTTTAAATTATTAATTAATTATTTAAATACATATATATTCCTTAAAGTACGCATATTAGGTAAAATATTTGCCTATTACCTACATGCAATGGGCAATTCCGTAAATAAAGGTTACTTATATAAAAAAAAAAACATTGCATAAAAATGATTAATTTTTTTTAACAAATTTGAATTATAATTCATATTTTTTAAACTCAAAAGTTGACGTAAGATTTTAAATTACCTCCTCCTCCCTTAAAATTAGATTTGGTGAGATTTTGCTGGACCCCTCCCCCCATTTTTGTCTCACATAATTAATGGTTGTCCCCTAAAGTGTATGAAATTTTCTAAATTACCTTACATTTGGTATAAATATATTTTTAAATGGGTAAAAAATAAAAAATCTACAGACTATTAAAGTTGGTTTTAATGTAAATTAACACGACTTTAAATTTTGTTGATTATCTCAAAAAATTGGTACTTAGGCATATCAAATTATTTACATTTTCCTAAAATATAGGAAATTGTCTAACATATTTTTTTAGCTGGGTAGAAAATAACAAAACCACAGACTAAAATTGGTATCAATTAAAAAAAAAACTAAAATTGACTTTATTTTTTGTTGATTATCTCAAAAAATTAGTATTGGGGTATATCAAGTTATTTACATTTTCTTAAAGTGTATAAAATTATCTATATCTAACATTTGGTGTACATATTTTTTTAATTGGATAAAAATAACAAAACTAAAGACTTGGTAGAAGTTGGTATAAATTTAAAAAAATTAGTACTTGGGCATATTAAGTTATTAACATTTGTGTGAAATTATCAAACATAACATTTGATATATTTTTTTAATTGGCTAAAATATAACACAACTACAGACTAAAATTGGCCTTAATTTTAAAAGAACTCAAATTGGCACGACTTTATAATTTGTGGATAATTTCGAAAAATTTTGAATACATGTTCAAAATAACTTAAAACTCATCATGTATAGAGGTCGGGAAAATCATTTTTTCTCGATTACGTCGTAAACTATAGTTTACGAGATAATCGGCAAATAAATAATATTAAAAATAAATTAGTATATTTTATCATTAAAATGTATTATTTATTTCGCGTATGTGTTGTGAGAAGATAAAAATATATTTGAAAAAACAAACAAAACTTTAACTTTAAAACTTTTAACATAATAAATAACTCCTTTTAACACGGAATTTTCCCAGATGCACTAAAAATAACGGTTGTAAAATAATAAGCCGATTTTTTCAAAAAAAAATTGAAATGGCAATTTGTGATGGACTGGTAAACTCTTTTACATTTCCAACCTATTTAGCAAATCTTAACGTGTTTTTTTTTAAATCATTCAACAACCACAGCTATATTTCAATTCACACAAAATATCATAACTTTTCAGAAAAGTCTTTTCTAGAGGAAGGTTGTCTGACAATGGGTATATGCTTGGACCTTTCAAAGGCCTATGATTGTCTTGATTCTGGGATCTTGCTTGAAAAACTAAATGCATATGAAGAGGTGTGTCACTTAAATGGCTTCCGTCATATTTGGCAAATCGCAAGCAAATAGTAAAAATAGAAAAAAAATGGAAATGCAGGTGTATCTGAGTGAAAGGATATTCTACTGGGAAGTATACTGGGACCTATACTCTTTTTGATTTTTGTGATTGATTTATGTGAAATCAGAGCTGCAAGCTCTCAGAAAACTTAAATAGTTTTTTTGATTTAAATCGTTTTAATGACTTAAGTCATTTGGTAATAAGTCATTTCTCTAAAACTGACTTAAGACTTAAAATTTAAGTAATTTTCAAAATGATTTGTGACTTAAATATTTTTTTCAAAATAGAAAAAACTGAAGTCATTAATAAAAGGCTTAAATCAGTACATACGATTTAAGTCAGATAGAAACGATTTAAGTCAAAAAAAGATTTAAGTCTTTTTAGAAAATATTTAAGTCAGATTTTTCAAATTTTTTTTTATAAATTTTTAACAGCAGCATTTTCTTTTGAACTGCCAGGGGTTCACGCGGCAGCAGATCAAAAACTCCTTTAATTTCCTACCTACAATTGCTACCGCAAGTGAATAAAAAAACCGCCGCGATCAAGTTAGCTTTTCGGAACCCTTTGACGGCTACATTAAAAAATGTCCTGTCTAAAATGCATTAAAAAAAGTGGGGATTTATAATTTTGTTTGCCAACATTCGTCGTGTTCGTGCGTAGTTAGGTCTAATTTGTGATTATTAGTGCAAAGTGGAAACAATCGGTCGTGAGCGGTCGTGAGCAGTCGTACATCTTGAGCGGTCGTGAATCGAGAGTTTGGAACTTCCCATCATTACTTCCTTAAGGGATGAATATTCTTTTTCTAGATGGATGTTGAACCAGCTAACAAAAGTTAACAAAAAAACAAGTTATCAGTTTTTGAAATACAGCGATTTTAAGAAAAATGCTTCAACTTTTGTTGAATCTATTACCGTTTGTATAAATAATAAGAAAGTTATAGCGATATATATATCTGCAAAATCTCCCATTTCCTAAGAAAATTGCAAAAACTCTTTAAAAATAGCATTTTTAAATTACTTATACTTTTTTATAACTTATTTATTTTTTACCAAATTTTCAGGGTTTGTATAATATTTTATGCTCTTTTTAATGGGCCCATTTATAACTTTTTTTACTCATGCAAAAAAAAGTTAAAAAGTTAGCCTTTTTTTAAAAGCTAAAAATAAAAGGTAAACTTTTTAAAAATAAAAATCGCTTCGAGGGGTATATGCCAAAATAAGCTGAATTTTTCATAACTTCTAATAATTTTGAGATAGTATTCACAAAAAAAATTTCTGTATAAATTATGAAGTGTCCGAACATTATGTGGTTAGGGCTCGTACTATTTAAAACTAAACAGAAAATAAGTAAATGACCGAGTGGCATTTAAATATTTATTAAATAGTAAATATTTTAAATTTTAAATTTAGAATTAGAAATTCTTTATAAGTGGCATGGTGATAATAATTGTAAATGGTAAATGTGTAAAACATATGTGTATTTTATCTAATCATACAATTGCGAATACAGATTTTAGTAGCGTAAACCTGGTAATAAATAATTTAAACTTTAAAATAATGTTGAATATTTATTAAATAAAATATTTAAAAAGTATATTTACTTGGTAGAAAAAATCCATCATTTCATATAAAATTATTGATATAAATAAAAGCGGTTTCATATGGATGCGAAATGCGAAATACGAAAAATGTTTTCACTGGTCCATTTGATTTGGCGGGAAAAGCGTTTTAACGTTTCGACAGATCCTGCGAATTCGCAAGATTTGAAATCTGGGGGACGGGAATCTTGAGATTGATTCAATATTTTGCGAAAATCGCACGAATTTGTCGTGATGCGCATGCGCATTAATTAATTCTGTCTTCGTTTCAACAATAAATAAGCGCAATTGCACGCCTTCGTCGCCAATGGTATAATTGCCACTGGGATAATTGTTTATCCATAATAAAAACACAAAATCTCAATTAACATAAAACAACAAATAGAAAATGTTAAGCGAGTATGGCAAATATCGCCTGGGGAGAAAATTAAGTCCCTAAAATACCATGGCAAATCACCCAGTGAGAAAAAAATGTCCCTAAATAATTCGCATCTATATGAAGTAGGTGTTGCGAAATGCGAATATTCGTATAAAGATGCAGATATTCGTATAAAGATACAGCGCTTCAAAGCCGGTAAAAATTACCTCTTTCACAGAATATTTTATAAATACTTAAAAAAAATTCCCTATAAAAGTTTTTTTTCGAGCGTTTTTTATTATTAAATAAAAGGGCTTTAAGGATATTTTCTTGAAAACGCTTGAACACGTAAACTGATATGTAAGGTAAAGTATTTTTATCCAAAATTTTATAAAGATTGGTAAAGGCGTTTTAGAGTTGGATTTTTTTTTACTTGTTATGCGTTAATTTTGACGCGCAGTGTAAATTCCAGGAATAATAATAAATAAAAAAAGTACTGGTGAAAAAGAAATTTCTAATCAAATGGTTGAATATTTTACAGATGTAGCTACAAGAATCTGAAGCAAAATTCCCAAATCTAATTGTGACATACCTATAGGAATAAATTTTTTTTCAAAAAACAATATTTTTTTTTGTCCCCAGTAACGAGTCCGGAAATGGTAAAAATTTGAAATAAAGAAAGTAAAAGTCAATAAGTTGACTGGTATCGATGGTATCTCGGCAAAAACACTAATGACGTAATTTCCCTTTTAACCGGTAAAATTTATGAAAGTATGGATTCTTTTAAGCCAATAATAGGAATTTTTCTACACTTGTCAAAAGGATTTGATATAATATGTCACACTACTCCAACAAATAATCTGGAAATATATGGGATAAGAGGCAAATTGTGAAAATTATTGACACTTTTAGCGATGTCAAAAATGTTACATCTGGAGTCCCGCAGGGTACAATACTAGGTCCACTGCTGTTTCTTTTGTACATTAACGATATTTCTTATGTCATCAGTGTTTGGGATAGAAACTTTGGATTTGAATTTTCGTTCCATACGCATGCGTGTAATAGTGGAAGTGACTATGAAATAATGTGAAATACAAGTGACTTATTTGACCCAGGAGAGACAAAGTCGGGGGCCGGTCGTAAATTACGATCAAATTTAAAAATAATTTAACTTGCTTGAACCTTTTAGCAAGGTCTTATGGGATGTTTAAGGATTCCCTTGGTAATACAAGTTTTGTCTAATGGCGGATGGATCTATCTGAAGCAACTGGACGTTAATATTGGTAGCTGCCAGCTACTAGCTGGTCAGTTAGAGGCAAATTGAACTCTTGTGAGATAAGACACAACTAAACGTATAACTTCCAATGTTTTGTTTTGCTTTAAAGCATCCGAGGTTTTCAATAGCTTTAAATGTACCAATTGGTTCATAAGCGAAAATCGCGGTTTGTTTACAGATAACGTGTGTATAATCAGTGTTTCCGTTTGCGGGTATTTATTATTGTTAAGTTATAATTGTTTATGATATGATTAGTATTTATAAAATATCAATTCGAGACATTTGGTTTTTTTCTATTCCATTAAGTGAAACTAAATAACTATGTTTTAACTTCATCGTTCGCGAGGCTCGCGCGCATGTGCATGCACTATGATATCACACGTGATATCATCATTAACATCACTTTCTAAAATGAAAAACCAGGACACAACATGCCCCTCCTCGCCCTTCCAAAACATAAACAAAATTTGTTATTTAATGTTATTATTTGAAAAAAAAGTGCTCATAACGTCAATAATAAAAAAATAGTATAAGACAGGACTAAATCTGCAAAACCAGGACAAAACCAGTACACAATTAAAACCAGAACACATTAGCAAAAACCAGAACCTGTCCTGGGTAAACCAGGACAGTTGGACACCTTAAATATTGACACCAAATTAATATATTATGCTTTAGTGCATTCAGTTTTGTGTTAAGGGCTACATCAAATTCACACTGAAAAAATTGAAATTGTGTACAACCATTACAAAAATAATATACAAAAAAAATTGCATTTGACCAATTGCTTAAAGACTTAAATGAAAGAATTATACATTTAAGAGATTTATAAATACATCTACAAAAACAAACAAGATAATCCACTATTTTACGTGATCTTCGATAATTGGCCTTTTGAGACCTTATGACCTTGTGATTTTTTCATAATAAAATTCTAATTTGACTGAACTATTATTAGATATCATGGAAAAAACTAGAATGTATATTTTCAAACGTATTAAGTAAGTGAGGAGCTTGTTACTCGACGAAGTCCGAAAAAATACCACATTGTAAGATATAAATTAAAGCAATAAAACTCTTAGAGATACAAGGCGAATATTGAAAAAAGTGGGTATTCCAGAAGCTTCGCAGTTCTTTCAAGGCAACAAACATCCAAGATTATGGCATTTGATAGCTGAAGCTGACTAAATTTAAAAAAATGCAGAAATAATTTTAAAAATTTGTTTTTAAGTGCTATCAACCCAACAATAGGTATTTTTTAATTTCAGAAAATGTTACTCAAATAGACTTTGCTGGGTATTACATTAGACCCCTGAATTAACTGATATTTGTTTTTGATTTTCATGTATTTAGTTTGATGAAAGTAAATAAAAAAAGTTGGGCCATAAGACATTTTCAATGTCAATAACAAAGTATAACTCACCTTGAATCATCATGTTCAACCCCATGATATTCCACCTCGATTTGTCTCGAACCAGTCTATATCATCTTTCCTCATTGTTTCCATTGTGTGAGAAATTTTTATTTTTTTCAGAAAAGTCACTTCTTCCTTAATATTGTCACTTTCTTTGTCACTATCGTGGATTTTATACCTTAAATGACAGATAGGTATTAGGATGATGAAAAAAAAAGTTTTCTTATATTTAACGTAACCCCCTTATATCGATGTTTACCCAGCGATTTTCAATAATTTTGATAGTTTTAAAGTTCTTCAAATGTTTTACCGCATTACTTTGATAATAAAGGCCTGAAATTTTCACAGAATCTTCATCTATTTATGTAGTTTACAAAAACATATCTAAAAAATGTTTTTCGAAAAAAAAAGTCTGTTTCTTTTGTTTATAACAAAAACGCTTCAGTTTATAATCAAAAGGCGCCCGCGATTTGTGACATTGTTCAGCCTCTAAATTACATCTAAGTTGTCCAAAAATACTTTTCAAGAATAAAAAAAATTTACGCTGGTAAATTTATTGCTTAAAATTGATTTAAACTACAAATTAAATAAAGCACATTAGACATAACACAATTGTAAAAATAATAAATTGCTTATATGCATATATTTGTAAAAATATTTTAAATATGCAGTTATTTGGCTAACAGGAAAACATTTTTAGGTTAAAAGTTAGGATTACGTTCATTTTAAAGTACATTAAACTAGACTGAAATATAAGCTGTACGTAATTATTTTTGGGGGTTGTGTTACCCCCCCAATTAGGTGGGGTAGGGGCAATTTTGGGTGTACGGGGGCAAATGGTAATTTGCAGAAGTATTTTTGGTCTTGGGGACATGTATCCGGAAACGCTCTTAAACGTTAAAAAGTGCGCGCATCCTAGGAGTTATAAATTGTTAAAATTTTATTGGTTATGTTAACATTTGTTAACAATAAATTCTTAAAATCTATAGAAAAAAATACTTGGTCCCGCACAGCATCCCTGAGTTCAGATTTTCAGTTTACTTTACACCGTGATTCCTAATGCATTTTTCTTATTGTGTATCACCTGAGCTCATGGCGTGAGAAAGAAATCATTTCGTGAGTTAATTTTAAATTAAGTGGCGCGGACATGCGCAGAGAGTGCGTTCAAAATAAAGGTCCATGTGACATAATTATTTTAACCTTAATTATACCTGTGCGCAATGATGCTGTTAGGCAAGCTAGAATTGCAACGTACTTCAAAACGTTCATGAAGCTGAAAAATGTACATTGAAGCTGATGGAAGCGATTTAGCTTCAAACGTGCGACAAACTTTGGATGATTGTTTCAGAGTTATAATAATAATGAAATATTTGCCTGGATATTATAGAAATGAACTTGTTCATACTTTAAGTTAAACAACAATAATTTCTCACCTGAAGAACATTGAACATCAGATAACTGAACATGTTTTAATTCCTTTCCCCAAATTCGGTTTCCTCCACCACAACCAACAATTACTGTACCATCGTTATGAATAAGGCAAACTGTTCAACAGCACTCCAAGACATACCATCCACAGTCAATTTATTTCTGTCATTAATCATTTCTTCATACCAGGCTAAAATGACAAAACAATATTACTAAATACTTATGATTCCTTATTTTTATACAAAGTGTACAAAATAATATACAGAGGAAATAGAATAGCATAACTATAAAATACCGCACAGAATTCCTATGTTCAGATTTTTCTCAGTTTACCTCACATCGTGAATTTGTATGCATACCTGTGCGCGCACATTCTGCGCATGCGCAATAAAGCTTTTGCTTTCTGATGCGCTCATTTGATCACATATGCGTCGCCACTTGAAGGCGTTAAGAGCTCAAAACGTGCGGTAAAATTCATAACAAATAAACTCGAGATTGTTGTGCGAGTGATTTTTAAAATAAAAAAATTACCAATAAAGATTGATTAATTTAAAAAAAATTAAGAAATTAAAAATTTGTTAAGAATTAATTACTTAAATCTAGCATCAAACGTCAATCCTTATGAGTTATCAATTTTAAGTTATAAACGCAATTCTAATAGTTTTTTTTATAATTTAGAAGTCTAATTATTATTAGACTTCTAAATTATAAAAAAACATATTAATAATTATTAGACTCTTATATCCAACACAGCAAAGTCATTGGACTTTGCTGTGTTGGATATATTGAGTTTTTATTAGTAAATTTCATCAAATTTAAAAATAATGTCCTAAAAACACTAGTCCAGTTCAAATGATTGAATAAAAATATCATACCTTATTATTGCCCCTATTACTAGGTACATCTTTTTTCAAGGGAATACTTTAATAGCCTATTTTAAAATTTCTGAAAATGTTACTCAAATGGACTTTGCTGGGTAGGTTATTATTATTACTAAATTAACTGATAATGGTTTTTGATTTTGATGTATTCAGTTTGACGAAAGTAAATAAAAACAAAAAATGTTGAGAAAGAATAACTCACCCTGAATCATTATATTCAACCCAATGATAATGGTTTTTGTCTCAAACATGTCTTCATCCTCATCTTTCCTCATTGTCTGCATTGTGTGAACAATTTTTATCCTCTTTTGCAGAAGTCCCTGTCCTTCCCTTTTCCTTACTTTCTTCATCACTATCGTTGATTTTACATCTTAAATAATATAAGGTAGGTATTATTATGATGAAAAAAAAATGTTTTCTTATATTTTAAGTAACCCCCTTATATCGATTTTTACCCAAAAAATGAACTTGAAACTGAAAAATTGAACAGTTTTAGAGGTCGCTCTCAGCGATTTTCAAGATTTTTGATAAAAAACTCTAAAAATTCTTTAAATGTTAAAAATCGCATTACTTTGACGAAGAAGGCCTGACATTTTCAGGGAATCTTTGTCTATTTATGTTTACGAAAATAAAATCTAAAAAAATGTTTTTCGAAAAAAATATCTGTTTTGTTTGGTTTATAACAAAATCGCTTTTATTCATAATCAAAAGGCGCCTACGATTTGTGACAGTTTAATAGCCTCTAAATTACATCCAAGTTGATCAAAAATACATTTCAAGAATAAAAAAATTCACACTGGAAAATTTGTTGCTTAAAATTGATTTGAACTACAAATTAAATAAACCACATTAGACGTAACGAAGAAAACACGAATGTTTTTTCAAGTGTGTAGTGTGTAGGTACATTGCATTAAAAAATAATTAAGTAATTGTTTATATGCATCTATTTGTAATAATGTTTTAAATGTGCAGTAATTTGACCAACAGGGAAACATTGTTATGATTAAGTTCATTTTGAAGTATATTAAACTAGACTAAAATATAAGCTTTACTTTTTTTTCTTTAATAATATGTAAGTAGTAAGTATTGTCACTGTTCGTTTAATATTGTTGGTCTGTGATTTTGCCTGATTCCACCACATTTTTTAAAAATTTCGTGCAAATACAGGTTCAGTTGAAATGATTGAGTCAAAATATCATATCTCTCTCATACATCTCTTTTTTTTAAGGGAATACTTTAATAGCCTATTTTTTACCTCTAAAAACAATGATAATACTCAAATGGACTTTGGTGGGTTTGATATTAGACCCCTAAATTTACTATAAAATTTTTCCATTAACTATGGGCTGGTAAAAAACTGGTTTTGTACAGAATCATTAACATTGCAAAAAAATAGAATGAGATTCCTTGCATACAAAAAGTAAAAAACTACATAGTTTCCGAAAACCTTTCATATCCAAAATGTTGTGGCAATTTTTTCAACAAAAAATATCCGACTTTAAAACTATGAAAATAAAATTAAAAATAGACCTGTAGATAAAAATGTTTTATTTTTCGTTTTTAAATAACTTACATTTTAATAATAAACAAATGGGTGCAACACAATACATATCAGGTTTGGTTCAAAAATTGTTCATAAATTAAATTATCTAAAATTTTGTATGGCCTTGCCCATGTGTAATTTTATCTTGCTTCAAACGTGTAGAGAGAAATTTGTTTTTCTTTAAAACAAAGAGAGATGCAAAAAACATTTTAAATATAACAGCTAAGATGCCCCTGGACATCTAAATTTAAATCTAAATAGGTACATCAAAAGCTGACCATCATTTTTATAAACAAACACAAACATCGAAATAAGGTTTTTTTTTAAATATTATAAAAAATCGGGAACCATAAATATTATTATATATATATTTTATATTGAAATATTTAATTCTGGGAGTTATTTAAGAAACATATATTTTTTTTATATAGTATTTTTTGTATAGAATTGTTATAATTACTGTTATTATATTATATACTCATATAGGCCCTGGTACCAGTTTTTGTTAAACTGTTTTAGGGTCAGCAATAAATAAATAAATAAATAAATAAATATTATATTTATATAAATATCATCTCAGTAGGTATAATATATATATAATATATCAATATTTTGATAAATATTTTATAAATGATTGCACAGCCACACAAAAAAAAAGTAAAAGGTTTTGAGGTTAAAGCCAATGAATTTTTTTTCACAAGTTTTTGCTTAAATTAAAATGAGTAAAATGATTCTTGTGTGAAATATGAGTTATTTTTTCCAAAATAATAAATATGTATTTATTTTATAGTTCTATGTTTAATGGGTGGGGTCTTTGATGAGTATTTACTAAAAATTGCCTTGTTTTTTGACCCAACAATGTAAAAACACCCCTAAGATGACCAACTTTTTTACAATAAAAAGAACACAAATAAATTATTGAAAAAAATATGTATTAAAGAAAAAAGTTATTCAAAATAAGGCTAGATCTTCTTGGTAAAATATAAAAATCATAGTACTTGATACAAAAAAAACAAAGCCCTGGACTGACTTACGAACAGAAAAATCATTACATACATTCTAATACAAACCTGGTTTTATTTAAATAAAAGTGGTCAGTTTGTTGTATTGATGAAAGTAGTAGGCCATATTGCTCCGTCACATGTTTAGTATGTGTAACAACCCAGACAGTCAAGTTATCTCTGCAGTCAAGGTTTGAACCTATTCATTTTTGTGAACTGGAAAACAAAAACATTATGTCAAAAACAAATTTTAAAATGTATTTAGACCTAAAATAAACTTTGGTTGTCCACTTTGTTTTTGCTGTACATGTATTTACCTAAAAACCTGTATATTTTGTTATACGAGTATTGTATTGACCCACTGTTTTATATTAATTACAAACTTTTATTGCAATAAAAATTAAATTCTATATAAGTAGGTAGGTTCTACGCATACAAGATAATAGTTACTTTACTAAACATAACAATTATTGTGGAATTACCTTATTTATAATTAGAAACACAACATTTTGATTCTTTATATTATATGTGTGTGATGTATTTGGAATTCACAGAACGTGGTTTCTTTATGCACAGGACATATATAATATAATTTAAAATTTACACATAATAATCCTTTTCTATGCATAAAACCCAGAGATGAAGATAAAACCAATTAAAACTTGACGTTTAAAGACGACATCACAAATATAAAATAACGAATCAGTGTTGCCAAGTGTTGCCCTGTATTGAAAAAGGATTTATTGTACCAACCCACGGTCATTTAAGCCTGATTTATAGATTGCCTTCCTTCCTTCTTTCCTCCCGTAAAAGATTAAAAATACGAAAATCGTAGTGCCATTTATAGATTCCCGTACAGGGGATAAACAACACAACGGTTTTTGTATTGTTTATCTTTTACGTGAGGAAGCGAGGACGGAATGCAATCTATAAATCAGGCTTTAATGGTATATAAGAAATAATAATTTATCGTAAAATATGTAAAAATAAACATATACATAGACAAACTGTTTTTTGGTTGTAATTAAATTATAAATTAATTATTTATTTATAATTTAAATTATGTAATTTTGTCATTAAAAGCAAATTGCTTAAGCGATGGTGTATAATAAAACCAAGGTTAACTTAAAAAAGGGAATGTAATATTAAAAAAAAAATGGGGTATACGCAGTGTTGCCAGTATCAGTGCTTTTGTACTGAAAATTCGTACACCCCTTGTGCCTCTAACTCTATTTTTGGTCTGGCGTTTGGCCGATCTTTCTTGAGGCTGTAAATGTGGTCTCAATGTTATGTTTTTTGAGAACTTTGCCTATTCTCTCGGTTGTCCCTTTGACCTAGGGAAGAAAAGCCTTCGAATTTGGTTTGTTCTTCTCGTCCTCTCTGGTATTTAACCGGCGTCGTGGTCAGGGATCCGGACCGGACCGTTTTTGGACAGAAAACCGGACCGGAACCGATATTTATTTGTGGACCGGAACCGTACCGAACCCATATTATTTTTTAACGTAACGCTAGAGACCGAACCCGAACACTTTAAAACGGGTTTTTAGGTTATTTTCGGTTTTTTTCTTAATTTCTTTTTGCAAAAATTTAAAAAAATATATTTTGTTTCGTTAAAAAAAATCTTTAAAATTAAGTTTTGCAAAAAAATATTTGAGCACGGGCTATAAATCTATTAATTATACACTCTAGCACAAGTATTATTAGGGATTCCTGCTGTCACAGCAGTGCTGTGTTAATAACAATTGTAAATGTTGTATAAATATTTATTGTAAATGTAAATTAAAATAACTTTATTGGAAAAAGAAAGATCTCATACCCAGATAGCACAAAGAAGTAAACCACTAGCACTACAACGTTTAAAACGATTACACAGCCACACAAAAAAAATTTTGTGTTCTGATCTGGGGGCCTGACTATATTTTCTATATATTTTTGGGGTCGCTGAATCCGAATCCGAGGTCTATTTAACCCCATCACATCAGGATTTTGCCATAACCTTAAAAACCCATCATATAAGCTATTACTATATATAACCCTGAGAATGTGGTTTTAATATAAAAATCCAAGCTCTTAAATATCACAACTTCATAACTCACATAACTCCATAACCCCATAACCCATTTAACCTCATAACTCAATGTACATCAACCACGTTTGTCAGATATTTAACTTAATATGTACGTTATTTTAATAACCGCATAACTTTAGTCTCTTCAAAGCTAAATGTCTGACATACGTAACTGTTGGAATTGATGTTGATGGGGTTAAATGGGTTACAAGGTTATGGGATTAAGTGGTTTATGGGATGGGGTTAAAATGGTTATTGGGTTTAATAGCTTGGGTTTTCAGATCACAATTTCATCCTAAGGATTATATGTTTAAATAGATGATAGGGTTAAGTGGGTCATGGGGTTATGGGGTTAAGTAGGTTTTAGGCTTATAGTGTTTAGAAGCTTGGGTTTTTAGACAACAACTTAATGTTTAGGGTTATATGCGTTTAATAGCTTAAATTACAGATTTTTTGAGGTTATGTCAAAATCCTGATGTGATGGGGTTAAATAGACATTGGATTCGGATTCAGCGACCCCAAAAACATAAAAGAAATATGGTCAGACCCCCAGATCAAAACACAAAAAAAATTTGTGTTCTGATCTGGGGGCCTGACCATATTTTCTATATATTTTTGGGGTCGCTAAATCCGAATCCGAGGTCTATTTAACCCCATCACATCAGGATTTTGCCATAACCTTAAAAAACCCATCATATAAGCTATTACTATATATAACCCTGAGAATGTGGTTTTCATATAAAAATCCAAGCTCTTAAATATCACAACTTCATAACTCACATAACTCCATAGCCCCATAACTCATTTAACCTCATAACTCAATGTACATCAACCACGTTTGTCAGATATTTAACTTAATATGTACGTTATTTTAATAACCGCATAACTTTAGTCTCTTCAAAGCTAAATGTCTGACATACGTAACTGTTGGAATTGATGTTGATGGGGTTAAATGGGTTACAAGGTTATGGGATTAAGTGGTTTATGGGATGGGGTTAAAATGGTTATTGGGTTTAATAGCTTGGGTTTTCAGATCACAATTTCATCCTAAGGATTATATGTTTAAATAGATGATGGGGTTAAGTGGGTCATGGGGTTATGGGGTTAAGTGAGTTTTAGGCTTATAGGGTTTAGGAGCTTGGGTTTTTAGACAACAACTTAATGTTTAGGGTTATATGCGTTTAATAGCTTAAATTATAGATTTTTTGAGGTTATGTCAAAATCCTGATGTGATGGGGTTAAATAGACCTTGGATTCGGATTCAGCGACCCCAAAAACATAAAAGAAATATGGTCAGACCCCCAGATCAAAACAAAAAAAAAAAATTGTGTGGCTGTGTTATTAATCCGTAAACACACAGCAGAAACACGATATGCAAAAACAAAGATCATATGACATATAAAAACAAATGGCCGACGGTAGAGTTGGTTGCCTTACTATGTAATAAAATAAAATAAATTGCCTAAAACACGAACTCTACTGAATTCCAACAAAAATAAGTAACAAGCCAGGACACGCGTCATATGTCCATCTTTGTCGAACACCTAGGCAGTTTTACATCACAGATGGCGCATTTTAGACCGGATGCTTAAAAACCTACGTGTGAGTACATTTACCGCTGCATCGAATTTACAAGACAAGTAAAACATTACTGCTAGCATGTCTGAGATAAGTTCGGCACCCGATGAGTCACGTTCATATATTGATGGTTTCTACTGTACCTACTGGAAACGTTCTGATATATCTTGTATCAGACAAAACACCTAAGTCCTGAGTACGTCCGAATCAGGTCATGAACCTTCCCCAGGACGTACTTACCAGCGACATCCGATGTTACCAAATCGTTAGTCCCCAGAACGTCCTAAGTAAGACATCCTCTGGCCGTCCTGAAATGCTTTATTGGGGACTATTGGACAAGCTTTACAAAATTAAAGAGTGGTATTCCCAAAGGGTCTAAGTGACAAACATAAAATTGTGAGTTATCAATGAAAAACAAATATTTTGCACATAAAAATGTTGAATATTGAATAATTATTAATAATTATAATATTATTATAAAGCGAAATGTAACGAAAAATAATTAAATTGTAAAAAATACAAACAAAAAAATTAATAATTTACATAAATCAAAAAAACAAACGCCGTTAAATTTTGCACAAAGTGGAATGTTTTGTACTTTAGCAATCTACACATCAAAAAGCAAGAATATAAATCTGTTTATTGTATCATGGAAATCTGCGATACCGTGGTAGTACAAATAATGTCGGTAAAAGCAGTTTTTACCACAAAAATAGAAACTGTACGTATTTTGTACGAATGATGTCGGTAAAAAGTTTTTACTAAAAACATTTTTAATCACATACATGTAAAAAATATATAAAACTGTTGCAACATATAACATATTTATGCAATTTAATCTAAAAAAAGTTATTTTTTTGGATTATTGCAAGATTTAGATTTTCGGTAGAATATTGATGTCTTTCGGTAGATCGGTAGAATTTTTCAGAAATCTGTAGATCTACCGAAAATTCGGTAGGGTTGGCAACACTGGCACAGAGTGGTACTAGCCTTGTTCCTTCAGACCAATTAAACTGTCAAATGGACGTCAGGGACATCCGCAAAACGCGACCATATATTTGTATTGCTAACCCTTTCTTTACGGCCCGAAACCTAGCCAAATTAATTTTTAGAAAATAATGCCCACCTAATGTTGAATACTTTTTCTCACACAGTCTTGTGAGATAAATTTATTACGTAATATAGGTCGTCCAAAAAAAGTTCAGTAAGGCTGGTCCAAATGCTCGATAGGAACAAACCTATTAAATAAGAATATTAAAAGGGAATGTAGATATTATATTATAAATAAACAAAACATGCCTTTGCATCGAAATCCTTTGCATCAAAATTACTTTTTTTTAATCCCTTGCATCAAAATCCCAGGGTCAAAAAGAAACTAGACAACGTTGCGATCATGTTTAGATATTAAGAATTACCAACTTGATCGATATTTAAAGTCGATTGGGTTGTGTGTCTTTGTTCCAGTACAATGTGTTAAGAAAAATTCACCAGGTGGTAAAACTTCTCAAAATATTAAAAAACGACTTCTAAGTGAGCTAGAGCCCCTTAATAGTTTCTAAATGTTTCCAAAACCTGAATAAATTAAAGAGTGAAATTTGGTTTCAAACATGTTTCTTTTAAACTTGACTGCTGATACTGCATGTGCTTAATCCTTTGGTGATTTTCAGGAAAAAAGTTCAGCTAAACTTAAGTCTGCAACCGCTTTATTTTAAAGATATAGAGGGTGAACAAAATTGAAAAGAATTTTACTAGAAAACTGTGCGTCTAATCGGGTTAAGACAAGACGACATTTTTTACATAAAAAGCTGGAACATTTAGGTAATTCAAAAGTTTAAAGAATATACTCTATTTATTTATGCAGTTATATTGTAGTTAATTTGTTTTATTAAGTGTTTAAGTGAGTTTCTTTGTATAGACTAATAGCTTCTTTTAGCTCTCTTTTAAAATCAGGGTATGGGGAATGTCAAAGAAATATATATGCATGTCTCAATGCACCTCAGGGTCAATTGGCTGCAATAATTGCGGTGTTTGGTTTCATAGCAAATGTGCCAATGTCAGAGGGAAAAAAGGCCGAAGGGCTAAGATGGGTTTGCCACAAGTGTAAGGATGTGAAGGTTAAAACTGTCATGAATAATAATGACAAGTCCTTAGAAGATTTAATAACTAGTAGATTGGCCGAATTCCAGGAAGAGATTGGCAACATGTTTAAGACTCAGCTGGATGTCTTGACTGATCGACAGGATAGAATCATTCAGGATAATTCTCAGTTGAATTCTCAAAACCAGGCACTTGCTGAAAGGGTTCTTCAATTGGAAAATCAAAGGGATTCTGGACATGAGTAATTGGTATACGAAGTTAACGAGAGAATGAGACGTGCTTAAAATTTATTGGTTTTTAATCTTGATGAGTCTAAGAAAGCGAGTACGGCGGAGAGAGATGAGGATGATCGGGTGAGAATATTGGTGGAAAAAAATGTGGTTTGGATTGTGGGATAGTAAAAGTAATTAGGCTGGGGAAGTTTATTAACAATAAGTGTAGCAGTAAAAATCTCTCGAAAATCAGCCGAAGAAGTTTTGACGGTTTTGAAGGGAAAACTTTCTTCTGATCTCTCGATTAGTTTCAAGTCTGATTTGACTGAGTTTCAGCGCCAACAGTTAAAGAATTTGAAGGAAAAGCTGGACAGGTTAAAGAATTTTGGTGACAATTCTAAGACAATAAGATATGTTCGAGGTGTGCCAAAAATTATTGAAAAAACAAATTTTTAGATGATAAACTTAATGTTGAGCAAATTTTTGTTAAGATTTTGTCAGGAAAGGAAATTATAATTTTATTATGTGTATATTTTGCGCCGGGATCTTCAATGAAGCTCTATGAAAATAATATAAAATCCTTAAATTTAATTCAGAATAAATATCCTGATGCAAATTTAATTGTGGCCGGTAACTCTTTCCGGGACTTGACGGCGATTGGGGAACCTCTTGTTGCTTCTAATTTGTGTTTGGAGGAGGAAAGATTTGTATTGGAGCAGTTTTCATACTTAAAAGTTTTACAGTATAATTCTGTAGTTAACAGTAATAATAGAATGTTAGATCTTGTTTGGTTCAGTATGTTAGATGACGCTACAGAGGATGCGCACTGCGTATTGCGTTGAAATATCTTTAGTTTCGGAGAATGCCATTGTTACGCCACTGTACACAATTCAGGGTTACCAACAGAATGAACAATGACAGCGTGGTAATAGAATATACGTAGACGTTAATTATCATAGTTTGTTAAGTAAATATAGTTAAATAAATAGTATTTAAGTAAGTTCAGCACAGTGTTTCTCTACATACACAACAGAATTGGCGACGAGAGAAAAAACCCCGCACGGCAAGTACATAACCTAAAAATAAAATCGTTTACAAACGTTTACATCCCAAAACATACATCCGTGATTCAGGAGCCTCCGAAAACCCGCCTTGACTGCTCTCTAGGCATTATCCTTGTCCTGTACAAAATCCTAACATCCTAATGGCAACAAATATAGAAGAATTGGTAACGGGGCTCACCAAAGCTCTACAAGCTATGAACACACCGAAAGTAGGTACTACATTGCAGCCATACGATGACAAGAACGAGTCATTTACAAGTTACATTCAACGATTAGAGAACCACTTGTGTTTACAAGACCTTATGGGAAATACACCAGAAAAGGAAAAGACTCGGGTACAAGTATTGATCGACTGCCTAAGCCCAAAAGTCTACCAGACTCTGACCAAGCTAACCGCACCAGATAAGCCAAATACAAAGACTTACAAAGAGCTTATTGATCTTTTACAAAACCACTTAGCACCCAAAGCAAGCGAAGTAGCTGAGCAGCACAAATTTACAACCCGATTACAACATGAAGGAGAAACAATACAAGAATATGTCGCTGAACTGAAAAAACTTACTACTGACTGTAATTTTGTTTGCGCAAGCTGTCAGAAATCTACAAATGATACACATTTACGTTCCCAGTTTATACGAGGAATAAGAGATAGCAACATACGAGAAAGAATCTTACAACAAAACTCAGTATCTTTTGAAGACGCTGTAAAACTCGCAATTGCAATTGAAACCTCAAGAAAAGAAAGCAACCAAATCATGCAGCCAAATACAATACATAAAATACAGCATGCAAGAAACAGACATACAGTACAAAAACCAGAGGAAAAGTTCTATGATAGAAAAAAGAAAAATAACACTACAAATACAAATGACTTACAAAAATTACAAGGAAAATGTTACAGATGTGGAAAATCAAACCATAAAGCAAATGAATGCAGAAGCAAAAACCTTTTTTGCAAAACGCGCAACACAAAAGGACATGTAGATTCAGTTTGCTTAAAGAAAAGTACGTACACACAAAAGAAGACTGTTTACAAGGTCAATGATCAAGAAAGCAGTGAGTCAGAAGAATTTACAATAAATAAAATGGCTACATCCAGAATAAATCAGTTACAGAAGTTTTTGATAACAGTCAAAATTGAAGGAAATGACGTGAAAATGGAGCTGGACACTGGAGCAGCTGTATCAACAATGTCTGAAAAACAATTTAGATCATTATGTCCAAATATACATATTTCAAAAACTGAAACAAAGCTAAAAACTTACACAGGAGAATCAATTTCACCAATGGGAAAATCCAAAGTCAATGTAAAATACGGAACCCAAGAAAAGCAAGTCGAAATATACATTTTTGAACAAGAAGTGGAAGCTTTGCTGGGGAGAGATTGGATACAACACTTTGACCTTGATCTAAATTCGATGAAACAGCTGAAGAAAAATTTAAATACAGAACTTGACAATACAATATTACAGCAAATCCTTGACGAATATTCAGATGTATTATCCGAAAATTTGGGGGAAATTCCAAACATGGAAGTCAAACTACACTTAAAGGATGAGAACATACAGCCTATTTTCTTAAAACCTAGACAAGTACCATATGCACTGATCCAAAAAGTGTCAGATGAAATTTCAAGACTAGAATCAATCGGAGTCATAGAACCTGTTGAAAACTCTACATGGGGTACACCTGTAGTACCAGTTGTACGATCTGATGGACGATTACGCTTATGCGCGGACTACAAGGCTACAATTAATAAATACTTACACGATGATTATCACCCCATACCAAAAATTGAAGATATTTTTAACAAACTTGGAGGTGGACAGTACTTTTGCAAATTGGACATACACCAAGCATACTTACACATGAAAACAACTGAAGAAACAGCTCAACTACAGGCAATCAGTACACATAAGGGAGTTTACAAAGTCAAAAGATTAATGTTTGGAGTAAAAACCGCACCAAACATATGGCAACGATTTATGGATCAAATCCTTGCGAACATAGAAGGAACAGTATGCTTCTTTGACGACATTGCTATACAAGGGAAGACTACAGAGGAACTATTTACCAGATTACGAATCGTATTAACGAAATTGCGAGAGAACGGTCTACACCTAAACAGGAAAAAGTGCAAATTCTTTGAGAAATCGATGACATATTTGGGACATGTGATTAATAAAAACGGACTACATACCACTAAAGACAAAACAGAAGCAATTGCAAACAGCCCAGAACCTACAAACGTCAGCGAATTAAGAACATTTCTCGGAATGGTTAACTACTACCAGAAGTTTTTACCAAATGTATCAGGTACCCTAAACCCTCTTTACAAATTACTTCACAAAGATACACCATACAAATGGACCGACGAATGCCAGAAATCATTTCAACGAATCAAGACAGAAATTACAAGCACGAGAGTTTTAATACCATTTACAGAAAATCTACCCCTAATACTAGCCACAGACGCTTCACCAACTGGTCTGGGAGCAGTTCTATCACACAAGATGACGGACGGCTCGGAAAGACCGATTGCTTTTGCCTCGCGATCACTAAATACAGCAGAGAAAAACTACAGCCAAATCGATAGAGAAGCAACTGCAATAGTTTGGGGAATGAAAAAGTTCTTTCAGTATTGTTATGGGCGTAAGTTTACATTAATCACTGATAACAAACCGCTTACAAGCATATTTCACCAAAACAAAAACTTACCAGCCACATCTGCTACACGATTACTACACTACGCGAACTACTTATCTGGATTCAACTACATCATACAGTATAGAAAAACACAAGATCACGCAAATGCCGATTACTTATCAAGATTACCGCAAACCATAGATGTTACAAAGAAGAACGATACGCCAGGAATATTTCAAGTCAACCAGCTGGATTTTCTACCAGTAACCAGAAAAGATATACAAAAAGAAACATGTCGCGATCCAGAGCTAAAAAATCTATTTAACGCAATACAAACAGGAACAAAGTTACCAGATGGATTCCAAATAAATGAAATGTCCTTGCAAGATGGATGTATCTTCCGAGGAATACGAGTTGTTATACCAAAAACATACCAGAAAAAGATCTTGGAGGAACTACATACAGCACATACAGGGATGACAAAAATGAAAGCTTTAGCCAGAAGTTACGTTTGGTGGAAAGGCATCGATAAAGACATTGAAACAATGGTAAATTCATGCCACAGTTGTTCAAAAATAAAGAACAATCCGACAAAAATTACCGTACACCCGTGGGAATTTCCTACAGCACCATGGTCTAGAGTACACATAGACTATGCTGGCCCGTTTCATGGATACAATTTCCTTATTCTCGTAGATGCATACAGCAAATGGCCTGAAGTAATACCAACCCATTCAACAAATTCAGCAGCTACGATAGAGATGTTGCGAGATATCTTTTGCAGATTCGGACTACCAAATACACTAGTTTCGGACAACGGACCACAATTCAAGTCAAATGAATTCCAACAATTTCTCAAGGCAAATGGAATTATACACAAAACAATCGCACCGTATCATCCAGCAACCAATGGACAAGCTGAGAGATATGTTCAAACATTAAAACAGGCATTACGAGCAATGTACAATGAACCAGGTGACATAAAATTAAAATTATGCAGATTTCTCATGCAGTACCGCAAAACTGCAAACTCAACCACAAATACCAGCCCAGCTGAATTACTACTTGGGAGAAACATAAGAACCAGATTGGATTTAGTTAAAAGAAACTTACCCAGAGAAGTGAATGAACGGAATATTCCGGAAGATAATATCCGAAGCAAAGAGTTCAAAGTGGGGGAGAAGGTACAAATAAGGAATTATAACAATAAGGAAGAAAAATGGAAATATGGTATTGTGAAAGAAAGACATGGACTTCAGTATGAAGTAGAAATAGATAAAAAGCTACACAGGAGACACACAAATCAAATGCTACCGACC